AAAGAAAAGAAAACCACAGTAAGTTTCCATTCATACAAAGAAAATCAGAGTTTCTTCTTCCTACCTGTTCTAACTACAAAGAAAAAAGGAGAAAGACCCCATGTCTGGGACTCTCAGGAGCTCTTGGCTCACCTCCAGCTCACTGCCACTCTGGAACACGCTCTGCACCAGGGGCTGGGTGCCAACCGTGCACACTGCTGCAGACATGACCATTCTGTTGTTGGCCAGGGCTAGCTGCATGCATCACTGCTCCAGGGAGGGGCCAATGGACATGCTACTACTGCTAGGTCTCACCTAGGAAATCATTTTCTTGTGGGTGATTTTATTTTTTTATGACGTGATCTGGAAATAATCCTCAGGACATGGACGTGAGGAAGAAGCCCTGAAAAGCGAACCCGTTTTGTATAAGACCTGCGCAAGCTCTCCAGATCACCTCCTAGCCACACGTTTTTTTAGGTGCAGAATGCCAGGGCTATACAACTCACATTTCTTTATCCACTATGTGATTTTATGTTTGCAAAGACAGGAAAGGCAGAAGCCTGGTTAGCTAGCTATTATGGAGAACCACAAATATCTCTATATGCCTCAAAAGCCTTGCAGGCTTTCAGGAAAACAGTCCCCATAAATGCCCTGAGATGAAGAACAAGAACTATAATACTCCATGAGCTTTGGTCCTAAGTTACTTCTAGAAGAAAAATTTCTCTTTGGAGTAAATATGGGAAGAAGTTCATATTGGTCTTGTAGCTTGCTGGTTTGGGGCAGCTTTCCAGGTCACCTCTGTTGGGTGGTAGAGTCAAGGTCATGGGTAATAAAAATGCAAGACAAATGAAAAACAGAACTGTCTCTAAATAAACAATTAACCATATAATGAGATACTAGTGCACTATCACATCCAAATCAACCTAGATTTATATACATCTTTGCTCATGAAACAACGAGAACAAATTTTTAATAAAAATCTGAAACTCGAATTTCAGCTAATACTAAAAGGAATACAATTAAATTCATCCTGCATAGAAATGAATATAAAAGTTGTAATAGGACATTTGATAAATTTCAGAAGGTAGAAAATATGCATAACGGTTAATGAGAAAAAGAGTGAAAATAAATAACTGTTTTTGACATTGAGATAGTTGCCTTTGCAGAGTCCTTGGTACCTTATAAATCTAGATAATAAAATGTGAATAAACTATGCATTTTTATGGTTTCTGTCGCCAAGGTATCCAAGCTCTTGGGAAAGATTTTACTTATTTTAAAGCATTTATTCAGCCGTATTTTCCACACCCACCCCCTTTTCAGGGATTGTGCATTCTTAAGGAAGAGGAAGACTCATGATCCCCTTTTGCAAATCTCCCTCTCCTCTCAAATTTATGGATGCTAACTTCAGAGTACAGATTCTAGAAGCAGGGACATAGAGTTCTCCACCATGGCCCAATTTTTATAGCCCAGGAAACTATCTGGAAGAGTGCTATTGAATAGGGCGCACATCAGATAAATTAATAAGGATTCTTCTAGCTGGGGACATTCACACAGATTTCTGACTGTATCTTAGAGAGTCTACCCCTTCTCATGGCTTCAAGTGTTATCTCCGTACAAATACATTGAAACATCTCACCTGGGCTCCAGTTCATGTTTCTCTCCCAACTCAGATAAATCCCTCTGTCTTTCCCAATTCAACACACCCAAACAGGACTCTGTAACTCCCCCTCAAATGCACTTCTGTTCCAAACTCCACCATCATCCTAGCTTCCAGACCAGAAATGTCAGGGTAAGCTTTGATTCCTTCTTTCATCTCACACAACTTGGAGAGTCACTTCTTGCTGGAATGGGAGGGTCTTGTTGGGAGGGGACCAGGGGTCGGTTTTAGCTGAGAAGCTTCATCTGCTATTGCTTACTGCCTCCTGGTGACCGGTGGGGGAACAGCGAGGGGTTTGAACGCAGCCCTCCAGGAAGGCGGGCTCGAATGCCTAGGATTCCAGTCATCAAAAATATCAGAGTCAAGAGGAGAAAATGACCAAATGCAGAGCTGCACAACACAGCCTACTGCCTGAGCAGGAACCAAAAATGGACCAAGGTCCCCGGGAGGAGGAGAGCAGGAGTGGGCGGGGAAGACCCAAGGACAGACCAGGTGGGAAGTTAAGTATCGAGAGATCAGACGAGGAGGGTCACAGGTCCTACAGGCCAGCTAGTTGTCTAGCAGATTGGAGGCAGAGTTCTAGCACTTTCACTCGGTGTGATGAGAGATTGCATGATCCTGACACTCTATTTTGGGAAAAGATAGCTGTGGCATCTATAGCATGCCAGCCAGTGATGGCATAGGAGCCTTTGGACAGAGCAGTGAAGAGAGATGCCAAAAGACATAGAAGGTTTGCTGTGCTCTCTATCCCTTAGGTAGCAGCAACGAATGGATGAAAACTACACAAGATTCTCAGCCATTGCTCTATACTCACTAAATCCCACTGGTCCCCTTTGGGCCCTGTCCTACAGCTTCATTCTACCTTCTCCATCCCCTCATCACCCCTGATCTTGGCCTGCATCAATCTACATTTGGATTTATCCATAGGGTCTCCAAGATGGTCTTAGTCCAAACAGTCCCCAAATGTAAGGAAACGTACTCAGTTTCACTCAAAATAAGATAAAACAAATTAAAACTAGGCTGAGGGGCGCCTGGGTGGCTCAGTCTTTAAGTGCCTGCCTTCAGCTCAGGTCATGATCCCAGGGTCCTGGGATCGAGCCCCACATCGGGTTCCCTGCTCGGCAGGAAGCCTGCTTCTCCCTCTGACCCTCTTCCCTCTCGTGCTCTCTGTTTCTCATTCTCTCTCTCAAATAAATAAATAGAATCTTTAAAAAAAAATATTCTTTTGCAATCTAACCTTTGTAAGAGTACAGTTTGGCATGTTTTTTTCATAATGCTTACAGAGTCGTTATTAGAAATGTCACAGAAATTTAATACGGCCAAAATCTTTACAGAGCAATAACCAATGAATGATTGGTTGCAGCTTCCTAAGATCATTGTTGCCCTGGTTAGTGTGACTAAAGAGAGCCTTTCCTAATCTAATCAATAAAAATATTTGACTTTGTGTGAGAGCCATTAAGCACCTGTCGTTTGTTCCTTTTGGTATATCATTTATTGACCATTTTGAAGAGATCAATATAAAAGCATCTGGTCTGGGAATAATAAAATATAACAATTATTGGAAAATAAGCCAATATATATATACTATATATACATTTGAATTTAGTGACCTATGCCCAAGAAAAGATTGACTATGGATATTAGCAAGAACTCATACAGAGATCTGAACTTTCTGCTGGCCACAATCAAAGAGATACCAGTATAGGAGGGGTAAGGATAGGCATATGGAGTGGGAGAGAATTTAGAGAAATGTACCAGTCCACCAAATCACCAGAAAGCCAGTCAACTGTAGGCTTCTCTGCTGGAAATGCTCATGGCCCCTTCCTGAGTCATGGAATGTTAGAAACGATAGGCTCCAGGCTCATGTGGACCATCCTCCTCATTTTCCAGAACAGGTTTGCTAGCATGATGCTGAAGCATCCCCCTCAGCAATAGACACCTCTGCTTTCCTGCAGTTGGGCCACTTCTAATGAGTTAGGGATGAAGAGGGGAAGCACAAACTTGGGGAATCAGTGTGGGATATACAAAACTGAACATCAGGGTGGGAATATCTGGGCAGGTAGAGTAAATGATATTGCAATCCCAGTCAAACATGCCGGTGGAGGTCCCTAACCCAGTCACTGTACCAACTTCCAGGCATTCTCCTAAATTCCTGGTTCTAGAACTTACATTTTTGCAGGCTCTACCTCCTCATTCTCATTTCGAGCCCCTCAGCCTCCAGTGGCTGAATAGCATATATATCACCCCCTTTAAATCATGACTACTCTGTAGAAATTCACAATGAAGGAAAAAGGAAATTATGGAAATACTTTTGCAACTCCCACAAGTGGGAAATTAAGCCCAGGTATTGGCTACAGTGTCACATCAATAGCCCAGGTACCTTTTAGTATGCTAACAGCCCCAAACAAATCACCTTGCCCTACTTACAGTTTTAAACAAGAAACTTCTTTTGCAATAGAGACATGCTTAGGAAAAACTTAAACTCTTGAAAATCTAATCTTCGTACTGATTTTATTTTGAATATGGTTATTGTTCCAGCCTAAAATTATCTTTTTATTAATAAGATGAAAGATTTGCTGCAGTCTTACATAGGATTTTCATTATGTTTCTGGGACCAGGTAGTCTCTTCTTGAGTAATGTGGCTCCGTTTTTACT